TCTTCGGACTAAAACTGGTAACTTCTGATAGAGATAGTACCTTATTTACTCTCTTATTTGTCCTCTCAATTGCCAGAGAACCGAGTACGGGATCGATTTCCAGTAAAATCTGACTAGTTCGGACTCGTACGGGATCGCAACTCTTATTTACACTTGCAACTTGTAGTATCATTTAGATATATATAGACATTAAATCTTTTCAATTTTATGTACTTAGGTGTCACAAAGAATTAGCGACCAAAGTTAAGTATTTTTATTCACTAGTAACTGTTACTAAATTCCTCTTAATTGCTTAGAAATAACTTTTAAATATTTTTTACACATACATACGGCGGCGGACAATGAAATAGGAACGCGACGCTTTAACAAATTTGGGATATTTTTCTCTTTATAATTTTTGGCTTTTTGTTTTGTTAACGTATAGCTCAATATCTAACAAAAATCGTGTAAGTCAAAATTCCAAACTTTGTACAAGATTTTTAAAAACTCGACGAATTTCAACAAATGTTCATCAAAATTTCAAACCTATTTATTCAGAACTTTTACAAAATATGTTGGTTTGAGGTAGTTGTGAAGCCCATCAAATTTTAGCATAATAAAGTGCAAGTTTGAAAAAGCTAGGACTTACCTTTGATTTTTGGCAATTTTTTTTTGCTGGTGGTGTTTTCCTCCATATAAAAAACTTTATGTGGAAGGAAAGACACCGTCAGCAAAAAAATTTCAAAAATCAGCGGGAAACTTGCACTTTATTATACCAAATTTAAAACTGCATACCAAAATTTTTCTAAAAATTGTGAATAAAAAGTTTAAAATTTTGTTAAAGCTTTGTATAGTTTTCCTAATTTTTGTCCAGAATTTGAATTTCACGTGGTTTTTGTTAGATAGTGAGTAATACTTTCATAAAAAAATAATAAATATTTAATGAACAAAAAAAGAATAATAGCCAAAATTTTTCCGAATTCGCGTCGCTGCTTATTTTCCCGCCACTGTGTGTACTATGCATGTACAGTATCGGTCATATCTATAGCACGCCATTTCGAAGTGATATTGTGTGCAACTTATGTTTATTTGTTTATTTTTGAGAATTTTCAATTAAAATACAGTTCATTCTCAGACAAACCCCATATAAACCCAAGTGTAACAATTTGTAGAAAACCACAAAAAAGTGCAATAAATTTTCACCTAAATTTCAAATTTTTTTCTCGGAAGTGTAAGAATTTTTTTGAGTACACAGTTTTTTAGCCCCTTCAATTTTAGTCTGATAATGTGCAAGTTTCAAGTGGCTAAAAGTTACCGCTGATTTTTTAGAATTTTTTTCGCCAAAGGTGTTGAGGATTTCTTCCATATACAAATAAATAGAGTTTATTCATTATATGGAAGCCAAAATTGCAGTGGCTAAAAAACTGTGTACTCAAAAAAATTCCAACACTTCCGAGAAAAAAGTTTGAAACTTAGGCGAAAATTTGTTGCACTTTTTTGAAGTTTTCTACAAATTGTTAAACTTGGGTTTATATGGGGTTTGTTAGAGAAAGAACTGTATTTTAATTGAAAATTCTTAAAAATAAATAAATAAACAAAAGTGGCACACAATATCACTTTGAAATGGCGTGCTATAGATATGACCGATACTGTATGTATATGTGTATGTGCATATAAATAAGTATTAATCGCTATGTTTTTATACATTTATTTGCACTTTAATGTACAGAATGATGCAACAAATATAAAACCAAGCTTTGAACATTAATCGTGACTTCATTTCGCCAATAACTCATATTGTTATATGCTTAGATTAACAACAACAAAAAGTAAACCTACAATCGCAGATGGCGCTCATCAATTGTATAATTAATTAGTGGTACAACAAAAATGGTGCGCATAAGAAAAAATTGCAACAAAACTGTATAGAAAAAAAAAAAACTATTTTAGAATTTAAATAGAATTAAATAAATATAAGATTTTTTTTTCATTTTTTTAGGCCGCACAACATCACAATATCTACGATTATACAAAGTACAATATTTTATAACCAGCTGTTCGACCGATAAATCGCTATAGAATTACGCAAGTTATTTTTTAACGTCTATTTAATGATTTGCGAATTTGTGTTGAATTGTTTTAATTGACTAAAACGTATATGCTAAAATTATTTATTGCACAATATTATGAAAAAGGAAAATAAATCTGCTGCGCAACAATCTCAAATTGTAATCGAGCATGAAAGGAATAATTTCCGTTTGCTCTTTGCATATTAGCTCTATCAGTTATATTTGCATAAATATTTACTTTGTGTTAACTAGTTTAAAAAAAAATATTCCTATTTAATTAGCATTCTGCTTATATTCTAGATACTTTCTAACTAATGGAAATCCTAAATAGACTGCTAGTTTCATTTTGTTTAATAACAGTAATAAGGAACTGACTAATTTATATTCGAATTTGCGTCATGTGCCGCAGTTTTTTTTTCAGATTAATTCTAAGCAATAAGTTTGTATTTAAAAATATCTTTATGCATACATACATACATAAGTAGGAACATATAATATGTGTATATACACATGTTTGTGTATGTATATGTACATATATAGTTATGATTTCGTAGTTAATTATTAATTCATATTTTTATGTTTCTTCTTTAAGTTAGTTGAGCGTTGTTTAAAAACCCCCCAAAATATTTTGATTCCATGCTTTTTCTTCATTCAATGTATTGGCAAATCAGTGTTTTTCGAAGTCTTATCTACACATTCACAGGCATTTACAAACATAAGAACGCATGTATGCACGAATGTAAATTTTTGCTTTTTGCTGTTTCAGATAAAATGTATTTATGTACATGAGTTGTTTCGTTTTCAAATTCCATTGAAAATTGTTTATTTTTCATTTGTTTATGAGAAGTTTTTAAACGTTTTAACTCGCTATATTGTTAAATTCAAATAAATAAATAAAATTGTAACTTTAAATTATTTCAAAACAATTAAAAATTATACATATAATAGTAAAAAATTTATATATGTAAATAAATGAATAATTATGAAATAAAAAAATTATAATTTTAAACAATTTCGTTGAAATTAAAATTTTTCAACTAGAATATTCTGGTAATTCCTATTACTTTAATTGTGAAATTTTGTAGGCTTTTTAATAGTTTGAAATTAAATTGAATTGAAAAAATCAAATGCTTAACTAAAAAAATTGTAGAAATGATAGCTCGAAACGGCCTCAAGCTCAACAAAAGTTTTTGAATATAATTATTATAAGGCCATAAATAACAAAAACAAATAAATGTTTCTTTATATTTTGTATCTATTATTTTTAAGCATACCTTCTTGAAATTTAGTTCAAAATTTAACGCCTTCGGTCTATAAACTTTTCAATTTTTTTACTGCATAAAACATATCTATTTATTATATTTCGCGATAAAATATTTTCTTCTTTGGTTTTATAAAAGTTAGCATTATTTTTAGGCGCTTTTTCTTATGTATTAGATATTATGTACTTACGAAATATGTTTAAATATTGAAATGTTTATTTTACTAAAAAACAGAAGCAATTTCCTTAGATAGTCAGTTACATGAAAAAAAAATAAAAATCCAAAATCTTTGCGCAAAATACTCTTACTCTTTTCACAATTTATTAATCTTTTTTATTACCTTAAATTTTTTATTTTTATTCTCTACAACATTTTTTAGAGATAATGTATGGGATTTTTCATCGTTATTTAAATTTTTTTTTTTAATATTTGTTTTAATTTTTTAATTTATCTTCCACAAAAAAATATAAAGTAATATGTGTACCTTTTTATTTATCTACAAAAATTTATTTGTTTTTGGGATAATGTGCCAGCTTTATTTCCAGATTTTTTTAATTTGCACAAAACAATTATGAAATTATATGTGCAATTTTTTCCTTTTATTAAATATTTTTAAATTTGTATTTAAAATTTTTTTATAAGAATTAAATAAGAAGATTTTAGGCCAGATATAATTCCTTAAACAAAATAGACTAAAACTCAACAATTATTTTATTTACAAAAAACTAGTGCATTGTTATTCTTAAAAATGTAATACAAAAATATTTTAGTTTTATTTTTCTTTGTTTTATTTTTCAGCCAAGAAATTGTTTTTATTTAATTTTATTAAATTGTTTTCAATTTTTTCATTTGAAGAATGTTTTCTCAAAGTGTAAACTAAAATTTGCTTAATAAAATTTATTTATTTATTTAATTTTACTTAACTGTATTCTTTATTTAATTTTCTTTAAATTTATTTTTAATCTATTAAATTTTTTACCTTGTTTTATTTTAATTTTCTTAGTGTAGTTTTTTTGTTCTATTTAATTTACTTTGCATGATTTAAATTTTTTGTTTAATTTTATTTTAGTTTGCTTAGTTAAATTTTTTGTTTTATTTATTTTGCATAATTTTGTGTTTTGTTTTTTTATTTTATTTTGTTTAATTAATTTTTTTTTGTTTCATTTCATTTATTTTGCATGATTAAAATTTTTGTTTTTTTCTTTGCTTAATTTTGTTTAGTTTTATTTTTTAGGGCCTTTCCGGTTTTTGAATTATTATTATAATTTTGAATTTATCTATTTCTTTCAATTTGCTTTTTTGCATTTATTCAAAGACATTTTTTTTGTATTTCAAAAAACATTGCAATTTTATTAATTTCATCCTTAACTTTTACTTGCCAATTTTCTTTTGAAACTGCAACAATTAGACTCTTTTTAAATTCATCTACAATATATTTTTTTGTCCTTTTTAAGGTTTGCTTGCCTTTGCGGTTTCAAAAAAAAAATAGGTAATTTCCAAAAAAAAAACAAAAACAATTTGAAAAGTTCACCTTTTGTTTAAATAAAATTTTTTGTTAAAAAAATGTCAATACATACCAGATATTCTTATTTGAACCAGAAATATATTTTTTCTTTTTTCGTGCTAATTTTTTAAAACTAATTTTTAGTTTTTAGCATATGTTTTACTTAAAAATGTTATGTGCACTAACCTTTGGTGTTTTTATTTTAACAATAATACTCCTTTAATCCACGGGTTTGCGTTGATTTTTTCTGCTTTACAAAAAACTCTTGCAAACTTGTACTCCTTTTCCAAATATAGACTAAGTATTTTCAATGAATTGCTTCCACGTAGCTTTGGCACGCTTTTATTTCTTAAAAAAAAAATAAACTATATTTTCTTATCTTTAATTCGCTGCACAACAGACGCGACACTAAATTCAAGTGACTTCTTCTGCACAATTGTTTTAATTTTTTCTTTTACATTTATCAACTTGAAGCTCAATTAGAATTTCTTCTTTACATGCACGTATATATGTATGTGTTCGTGTGCTTCGTTTATTAATTAAAACTTAAATATTCTCGCTTAACCGTCGCGCAGAATCGAAACACCGTTTACGCGGAGCTCCGTCCGCTTTGCGTTTTGTGAACAGAAGAAACTGAACTTAGACGTCGTCGTTGTCTTATAAAGGAAAAATTGTGTTCTGCGATCGCGCAACACAGCAAGTGGGGGTTTATCATCACATTGACTGTTGTTGTTGCTGTTGGAGCTGCTGATGTTGGAGCTGTTGCTACTGCTGCTGCCACTATCGTCGCGTCATCTTGTAATTCAGCTGATTCTGATTGTTTCTTAAAAACCCGCGTTTTTTTTTTCTTCGATTCGTTCGATTCTTGTTGTTTGCGCCTTCAACGACGTCAGCGAGAACACATTCACTGCGTGTGAGCTTCAAACTTGTTCGAAACGAACCGTGAAAAAATCTGATTAAAATTATTTAGTAGTTAGTGGAAGTATATTTGTTGCTGCTGTTGCACACCTGTGGCTGTAGCTAATGCTATGGCACCTATGGCTGCCGGCTGCAGCTTGTGTGTGGTTGACAATCGAGACCATTCACCACTGGCTGAGTCGGATCGTTTACTCGCTCACCTGAGCGTTTGACTTTCTTTGTTGAATTAATTTAAGTGCTGATTGTAGTGAGTTTTAATATTTTTTTTGTCATTTATTAAATATCGATCGTCCAGCATAATTTAATAGTAATGTGCGTGTCAAAAGTTCACGAATTGCCTTTCACTCCCAACTAAGATACTATATACATACATACCAGGTATGTTGCGAATGTTTGCAGTCGCATTCGTTATGCGATTGATTCGCATCTTTGTACACATTCGCATTCGACATTCGCATTCGCATTAAATGATACGAATGTTTTGCGAATGCGAATGTGTACATGGGCAGAGAGTCCACTCTAATATTGTTGAAATGGCTCAAAGTCTGTCGAACCAGGGTGCGGACAATACTTCAGGCGCTAAACGGTTAAGTAGTATAGCAAGCAATATTGATGGGCCTTCAACAGTACTGCTAAAAGTCTTATAATTTTAGATTCCTCCAGCGAAAGCGAAGACTCGGATGTAGACTCTGGAGACATTAAAAAAAGTGAAATTAAAGCTCGATTGAAGGCTTATCTTAAAGTAAAACGAGTTGATCTCGGTGAATATCCTCTCGTTTGGTGGGGAAAACTTAACTAAAATACGACAAATTGACATAGCTGGCCAGCAAATAATTTTGGGCGCTCCACCCGCCAGCGTTCCAAGTGAGCAATTTTTTAGTGCAGTCGACCTTATGTACGAGCCTCTAAGAAATCGCCTCATGGGAGAAAAGGCAGCAACATTACTGTTTTTGAAATATAATTTGCCCCTTGTGAACTTTGACTACATACTAGATTAAAACACTGTATAGGTTAAGCACTCGTTCAATGCTCTAATAATTTACAAAATTTTTAAGTAATAATAACGATGACTTAAATTGAATATAGCTTTTTTAATGTTAATGTCCTAACATTCGCATTCGCATTCCGAAATTTCGCATTCGCATTCGTATTCGCGAATATGAATAATATGACATTCGAAACATCCCTAATGCATTCATAGGAAATATGTACGTACATAGCTGTTAGTCGCGTGACCCGCGTCCCATTTGGGTCGCATACATTGATTTTTTATTTCATTTTAAAATTCAGTAGAAAATAGCTTCCAAGGAAGTTTAATTTAAAAATTAAACGGTTATTAAATATTTTCTTACTTTGGCGACGGTTGGGAGTCAATAAGCTAAACACAAGTACTTACAGTATCGGTCGTATCTATAGCACGCCATTTCAAAATGATATTGTGTACCACTTATGTTTATTTATTTATTTTTAAGAATTTTCAATTAAAATATAGTTCTTTCTTTAACAAAACCCATATAAACCCAAGTTTAACAATTTGTAGAAAACTACAAAAAAGTGCAACAAAACTTCATATAAATTTCAAACTTTTTTCTCGGAAGTGTTAGAATTTTTCTGAATACACAGTTTTATAGCCCAATCAATTTATGTGCAAGTTTGAGGTGGCTAAAGGTTACCGTTGATTTTTTAGAATTTTTTTCGCCAAAGGTGTTGCGGTTTTCTTCCATATACAAATAAATTGAGTTTATTCATTATATGGAAGCCAATGCGACAAAAAAAATTCTAAAAAATTAACGGTAATTCGTAGCCACTTGAAATTTGCACATTATCAGACTAAAATTGCAGGGGCTAAGAAACTGTGTACTAAAAAAAAATTCTAACACTTCCGAGAAAAAAGTTTGAAATTTAGGTGAAATTTTGTTGCACTTTTTTGAAGTTTTCTACAAATTGTTAAACTTGGGCATTTATGGGGTTTGTCTGAGAATGAACTAAATTTTAATTGAAAATTCTTAAAAATAAATAAATAAACATAAGTGGCACACAATATCACTTTGAAATGGCGTGCTATAGATATGACCGATACTGTATGTGTGTACAAACGTATGTATGTACATCAGTGATCGGACTACTACCACAATGTGGTAGATCTACCACTTTTTACAGCATCCACCACATCTATCACGCAAGGTCTTAAATCTACCACATATTCCCATTTTTGAGTAGTTATAATTTAGCTCCACACGATTTTCATTATTTTTTTTTCAATTTGAGAGCAAAAATTGTCCAATACCAAACATTATGTGGTAACAAGTAGGGACACGATATCGAACCGAAAGTATCGATATAGTACCCATTTATAGTATCGCTGTAAAAATATCGGGTACCCATTTATATCTTAATAAAAAGACTGGATATTCCAAACCTCGATACAAAATTCAAAAAATTAAATCTGAATATTAGTGTTATTTTCTATTAAAGAATTAACACTTTGCACTTTAATAAGTACATCACTGAAGGCGCGCCACATACCAACCTAAGATAGTACACATTACTGCACTGTAAAGTAAGTAAGTTTATAGTAGATAGACATAGATTTGCAAGAAATGGATATCGTTTGAGAACTTTCGAGTAAAAAATTATCGGTATCGAATGGCAAAAATATCGACATGGTATTATATTGCATCGAAATTCGTGTCCCTAATAACAAGAACGATAGTATACAAGATTTCACATTCCCGCCGGCGATGAGATTTCTCAAGTAAAAGTAAACAAAGCCGAATGGGAGGAGAAAAGAAACTGTCAAACAGTGAATATTCTCAATTTCTCAATATTAAATTTTTCGTCGGGAAACGTGATTTTATTGTGTTAAATTGCAAAATACATATATGATTTATAAAAAGAAGAAAAGAAAAGATTAAGAAATCGGCGATTTTTGTGAAAGTATTAGCACCTAAAGTTTTCAACGCGTTGTTTACTTTTACAAACGTCAAAATTGGCAATACCCAAGTTCAAAGTTTTTTCTAGAGATTCGAATTAAAAAGTTTTCAGTTAAGGTGAAACCTTGCAGATTTTTTTTTTATTTTTGTAAAAAGTTTGATCCGAAACCTGAGATCTACCATATTGTTTCTAAATCTGTTTTTTTCCAGAATCTACCACACAGAATTTGTATTAAGTCCGATCACTGATGTACATACATACATATGTACTTGCATTCGAATTGGCTTTAAGTAGGCGTCCATGCAATGACAAAGCACTTTCGGTTCGAATATATTGAAATAAAGGAAGTAAAAGTTGAAAGAGACTTCAAATGTCAGTGGCAGCGCCGTTTCATCTAATCGATCTATGTATGTACTATGTACATGTGTATGTAAATATATAAGTACCCTGCAAAAAATGGGACTAATCCGGGATGACTCCGGGAGCAATCGCAAAGGAGCATGCGACTAATACCACTTTTGATCTCTTTATATGGAATGAACTGATCGCTTTGGTTCGAGCATGTCCTATGAAGAGACTAATTGTTCACCTTTATACCGAACGGGTATAAAAAGCGACTAGTCACTTTTAAAAAATAAAAATAAAAATTTGCGCCAGCTGAGATTCGAACCGGGGTGCTCAGTTTTTTTAGGCGAATACTCTCTCTGTGTGCCAACGCCGCACATGAAATTTCATTGACTAAGTGCGTACATATCATTAAATCGTTAATAGTACCCGTTAGAGATGAGTTGGGGACTAATTGATCTCCAATTATACCCATAAGTGATGAGTCGAGACTAATTGACCTCCATTAGTACCCGTATGAGACTAGTTGGGACTAATTAAAGCCCAATTGTACCCGATTGAGAGTAATCTCGGAATACTCTCTTTAGAGATTAGTCGCACAATTTTTTGCAGGGTAGTAGTTCAAATGGCATCACGTATACGCCGTGGTACTTGTTTTTATTACGAGTAAAAGTGACTAATTTTTTCTTCTCTTTGAGAACAAGTAATCAGCCAGAAATTCAGTCGGATTCTAGACGGACACCATCGCGTGTTCCTGTTCTTCTATCCTTGTCAAAAGTGAAAAAGGCAGATGAACTTGATCAGAAGTGACATAATACACTCTCTGATCAAGTTCATCGTGGCTAGATGTTATTTAAGTAAACTTATGCAGCTACAGAATAGTTTTCCTTAAGTTGGCTTATCATCCCAAAGGCCTGTTTTGATGTTGTCAAACAATCCTAAATAAGGAGACTTAGCGCACTAGAATATCTCCTATATCACTCTCTCCAACTTTTGGTAGATGTCGGGTTAGCTACTTTGGCACTATTTGTTCGTTTTACTCTAGCGAATCATTGACTGGCAAATTGTTAAAACTCGTGAAGAAGTGCATTATAACTGAGATTTAAGCATAGCCACCAACTTTTTAGTAGCACTATTCTTGTATGCGAGATCTTACGGATCGGCAAAACCAACCTAACTTATCCTATGTGCATATTTCTAAAGGCACTTTAGTAATATCGTCAATAAACACGAATAAAGGCGCGTGTTAAAAAGCTGACCGCGAAAAAAAAGCGCATAAAAAAACTTCAGACGAAAAGCAATTAAAGTTTACTTGTATTTTGAACGGAAAATCTTTGTACGCCTTGGTCGAGCACTTTATATTAATATAAAGGGTTCAAATTTTCAGAGAACTTGCTTCTAGGTATTTTCCACCAAATTTCGAGGTGGTAGTCAAAAAAAAAAATAGTCGCAAAAAAA